CACACACACACACACACACACACACACAACACACACACACACACACACACACACACACACACACACAGTGAGCGTGTTTGTGCGCGCGCGTGCGTTTCTGTATGTGTGTATACTATATTATGTACAATGTATCCAAAGATATGCATCTTTGTATGTATATGTACGAAATTTCATAAGTTTTGTCACATCAATTTTCAAAGAAAAACTTAATAACTCTTTGCTTTTCAATACAGATGAACGAAATTCAGCCCATGTGATCGTTATACAATTTCTGGCCAATGTAGGCCTACCTGTTAATTTCAAAGAAGACAACTTTATTCACTCTGACCTTTGCAAAACCCAAATTAAATTTTGCTTAGTATTTCAGGAGGCCTTCCTCCGACTAGTTTTAATGCTACACAACGTATATTCCTTGGCTGTATAAACTCTGTCCTTGTGGCTGCCAGAAGAATCCTCGGCCTTTCCTAATGAAGTGCAGCCCGTAGTTTCTGGCGGGTTTACACAAGGCGCGGCTTGTTTCTAATCCTCCGGTCAAGGTAATTCCAAAGATGGCCTTTTGTGTTATGGTCTCTGGTGACCTTGACAGCCAGTCAAGAAGATTGATTTGATGAGGCTGGGCGAAGTTTTGACTGACTACCGTGTAGAGTCGGGCATTGGCGTGTTGAAAAATTCCACCATGCCGTGCCATATAGCGTCCTACACGGGAACAAAGAATTTCGTCACCTATCGTCGTCCTGCGAGGGAATCTTAATTGGTAACCAAATGTATGCGATCATGAGCTGGAATTCAACCCCATACCATCCCACTTTCGCCACCAAATCGGTCCACTTGATAAATATTGGCTTGGTGAATTCTCTGAACTTTTCTCCTAAGCACTCTTTTTCTTCCATCGATGGCATCATCTAAAAACCTGGATTCATTCCTGAACAGATGACTTTACCTACGTTTTTGGCTCCTTCCCAACTTTTGCTACGCCAAATTTTATCAATGCCTTAAAAATAAAGAACCGGTAAAGGGCGATAAGCCCGTAATCCATTATCTTTTGTAAGAGCAGTAGTAAGACAAATTGAATTTGCAGTTTCGAAACGTTTAACAGTTTTAGACAGTTCGAAGAGCCTGGCAGCCTGTGCTCGTGATTGGAACAGGTTTCACACATGAGTGTCGAAAATTAAATCCAAGCGTTGACTTGTCGCCCTAGGTCAGCCACTCCAAGGCCTGTCTTGGACAATCCATGTGGTCTTAAGACACTCCACTCGTTCAAGCGTTGGATGGCTCTTCTGCATATTCTAAGTGTCTTACAAATATAGACAGCCCAATTCCAGCATATTTCAGCATACTCATAGCGCGTACACGTTTTGCATTTATTTGCTTTACCATTTTGAAAGTAGGTGAACAAAGCTTAAGGGGGGGGGGGGGATACACCTGGAGGCTATCTCGCTTATTACTGTACCGAATTCTACCAAATTTCACACATATAACAAGCATAGTAAGGAGTCTTAAAATCCGCAATCAAATTTGAGAAAAAAGTTTCGTTTCCATGGATACATCGCCATACTGGATTTTATTGACATATATGTCTTACGTAATGAATACCGCACTTATCGCTCATGGAAATTGGTTGTTTTTTTGCATGCGTGTTCACAAACATTAGATCTAAATATTTGTCCGTTGTTTTTTTCCTAATCGAATTAGAACATTTTTAAGGAATTTTTTCCTGAGGTAGCATTCAAGTTTGCGAAAAATCCGTGAAAATCCACACTCCAGACACCACCAACAAAAATGTATTCCATATATCAAAAATTCAACAGAAAAACTTTTAGTATTACCTCTTTTCTTCATTCTGTGAAAATTTCATGAAGATTGGAAGAAAAATGGTGGAGTTATTGAAAAAAAATACAGAGGAAAGTCGCATTTTGAGAAAACGGCCGATAAAGGAAAATAAAATACTGACTTTATGAGGAAATGGCGGTTACAAACATGCTAGGTACGGGAAAAAATACGGTTTTTGGGGGTTCTTATGCCATGAAATAGTCGTAGGAGAGGCTGAGAAAGCTAAAAATGCCTACAACTCAAATTCCATGATTTTGAGCCGAATTTTGATTTTGGGGGTGTAGCCCCCCCCCCCCCCCCCCCTTAAAACCTCTTTCGTGCTAGAGCGTAAGCTGTGTTTGCACATTGTCTGTGTGATTCGAAGCACGTTTCAGAATGCAGGTGCGTTGTTTGCAACGTGCGACGTGAGAAAATAATACCAACACATGCTACTTCCGGTTCATGTTTTTTACGTCTCCAAATGCAACTGGAGTTTCACAGACGTGACCTACCCCTGAGAGCATGTGCGACATGTTGCTGTGATTTCCAGTGGTTTTCAGTAGTCCACGTGCTCTCTGATAGTTGGATTTTTTTTAAATTGGGGGTTGTTGTTTTTGTTGTTTGTTGTTTTGTTGTTGTTGTTTTTTTTGGGGGGAGGGGGTTCTTAGACAGCTAGCTTATATTGAACCCG